TGTACGTGCGTGCGTGCGTATGTGAGAGTGTATGCTTTATATTAATATTACCAAAGATTTATTACTTTTTAAAATTATAATAAAATTAATATTAGTTAATAAAATAAAAAGTATTGTAAGTGAATTTAGAAATTAATTGTTGTTAACAAAATTAGGTATTATTTAAACTATCTGGTTTAAACTATATATATAAATTAATAAACTACATATATAATATATATATTAATATACTACATAAATTATATACTACATAAATTATATACTACATAAATTATATTATTAAACAATTAACATGTAACTAGAAATAGTATCTTTTTTCACGATTACTATTATCTCTATTTATCTTGTTTAAGAAAGATATATATTATACTTGCGTCATATGTTTTAAGACATTGTTTCTTAATCCAAATCAGAGAATAGCATGTTCGATTTATGTGAACATGTAACTTTTACAAATATTCGATTTGCATGAACATATTTTATTTGTATTTGACGTTAACTTCGTTTATATTGTAGACTATTCAAAACCTTTTTACTTTGAAATTTCTGTATCAAGCGAGTTTTTAATATAACTTTATTCCAAGAACTATTAGAGAAAATTATTCAGTCATTATATCTCGAATTGTAAAACACTTTTATTCTTTAGACAGTTTATTTCTAAAATCAATAGGTAATTGATATAAATACAATCAATTTTTGTTTTTTAGAGAATCTCATGTATAATCACAACTATACTATTATAATACGTTTGATACTTTTCGCAATTGGTAGGAATCGTGCAGACATTTATTTCTTGTTGACAATATTGCGTTGCTAAAAAAACGCATTTGCAAAAAAATAAATTAGTCCTCAAGAAAGTAAGTATTTTTTACTTCAGAAAAATAATATCGTTGTTTATGGTCGGAATACACGTTATTAGATTGCTACAGAACTTATATGCTCATGCAAATAATGAGTTCTCTCTTGGCTTATTTAGTATCGCACGACATATAATAGCGATTGATCCATATTCACAGGAGTGGGGTCGCACCGCGTGGGGATGCACTTGGAAAATCAGACGATACACTTTCATTTCCTTACCAACCAGAGTATCGTAGAAATGTGCTGAAATAGATTATTATTTTCTTAAATCTATTGGCAAATGACAATTACAAGTAGCGTCAGCCCAGCGCTGAGATTTGGTCTTCGTTTTTTTGGCTTTTGGCCGGGTGTATCGTATTCTGCAGTTTATTGGAGCTTTATGTCAAGTATGCTGATTATACAGTACTTCCAATATTTGTACACGTTTGATCATTTGAAGATCAGCGAGTTATCAAGTCTTGTTGACAGTTCACTTTTTACTCTGGATTACAGTTTAACATGTTTTAAAATGGCTGGTTTATGGATACATCGTCGGTAAGATGATGTAATATATTGCGTAGTATCTCAACTTAATTACCATGTTCGAGTTTGTCTTTTAGATTTCTGTTATAACATATACTTTTAATCTGATTTTCTATTCCTCTAACTGAAAGTGATTTAATAATACCTAAATTCGATGTAAAGAGTAAAGTGACGTCAAATGATGTCTCAGTAACAACTTTAATTTCAATAAGACGTCACCTTACTATTTGTTTAGATATATCTTAATTTAGATATTAAAGTATACTACATTATTTAAAAAAAAAAAAAAAGTATTACTATTATCTATGACACTGATTAAAGCACCGTGTTAGTAATGTCTACATTGCAGAGTCCTTCATAAAATTTTGGCGGATATGGATAATGATTGGCGCGAATGTACCAACATCGAGCAACATTTTCATTTGATGACAATTAAAGCTAATATATCACATTTTTTCTTTAACGCTTTATTGAGTTGTAATGGAATCATTACAATAATTTATCTTTTAGGCGATTACGTAATTTATTCCGTATTTCTAAATGAAAATTACAATAATACTGTGCGGCAGCTTCCTATAAAAATACAATTTCCATTTGAAATTCAACAATCGCCTAAATTTGAATTTATTGCTGTTATAATATTTATACATACGTTATTACAAGTATGGACGAATACTATTGTAAACGGATTGGTCTTTACTTTGGTAACTTATATTGTACATTTGTTATTTTAAATTTGATTAATATTTATACAATAATGATTTACAAACTCATAAGCATAACGTTGTTGCATGAAGATTTTTCATAAAGCAATTTGCAGAATATTATGTCACATAGTATAAAAACATATGCTGCATTTCTTTATTACAAACTTTAAGTATAATTAATGTCAGTATTAAAAATATTTTGAGTTTAAATTATATATCATATAAAAAAATTTAATATATTATTATATGTAAGATTTCTTATTGAATCTTTGTACTAAACTTGTAAGAAACGTTTAAAATAGCAAAAAAATTTTTATGTGCAATAATTATAATATTTGTAAAAATTTGAATATATTTTAGGGACTCCATGTAAGCGGGCAAATTGAAATCATTTGTCAAGAATTTAAGAATATTTCTGAGAATATTCTTTATTGTGGATCTTCCATATCGTCATTGGGAATGCTAGTCGAGAGACACAAAAGAGTCATTTCTTTTTCCGAGAACATGGAACGGCTCTTCTCTTTTATTGCATTAATGCAAGTTGTTTGGAATACCTTAGTAATTTGCTGTCTAGGATGTCTCTTCATAATTGTAAGTATTATAATAAATGCGTGTGCAATGTTTTGATAGATGTCATATATTTTACTCATTTTTATTTATTGGTATTTAGTCTTTTCACAACGAGACTAGTATTTTCGAATTAATGAAAATCGGTTTTGCTTACTTTGCCATAGCGATGGAACAATTTATTATTTGTTGTGCCGGAGAATATCTTACCTACAAGGTGAGCAGGAGTGATTACCTGTAAATATATAATTTTTTAGACATAATAATGCTATATAATATAAAAATGATAACAATATATATTATTATTTTTTAATAAAAATATTTTGGTGAGGTATTATTTCAGGTAACCAATTTCTTAAGTAACATTGTTTTTAAATTTTCTGATCATATAATATTTTTAAAAGAAATGACAACATATTTTATAATAAAATTATGTAGTTTCTGTATTTTAAAAATAAAAGTAAATATAGAATTAGTAAAGAATTTCTGACACATTTTCAGTAGAAGGACCGATTATAATCAGTTCTTACATTTAAAGCCGTCTCTTAAGTACAGTTATAAATCAGAAATAATCTAATTTAAAAGGAATCTTAATCTTTAAAATAACAACAAATAAAGAACTTCAAGGCTAATGAGATTCAACGCGAGACATGGGAGGTAAATTATAAAATTGTCATAAATGTCATGAATTAATCACAGAGCCGTATAAGCATCTTAAGGTATCACGTGAGACAGCTTGAAATAAGAACCGATTATGAATACCGGCCTACATTTTCACAATGTGAATAGAAAAATATTTTTGTGAAATTTGACAAATAAAAATAATCACAAAAAATCCTCTATATATGCATCATTTTTAGGGCAAATTAATTGGTAGTGCAACATATGAAATGCTATGGTATGATATGTCGTTAAATCACAGTAAAATTATATTGTTTATAATAATGAGATCACAAAAACGACTGGCGATCACGGCAGGAAGAATGATGGATATGTCATTCGAAACTTTTACGAATGTAATATTTTAAATCTTTTGGATATCTAATAATTAATTTTATTCTACTTACAAATTAATTTTAGGATCTGCTGCTACATGTTTCCATGTGAATATAATTTGTAGACCAAATTTAATTTTTTAACTTGAATTTTTTAGATTATGAAGGCATCAGCATCGTATATATCCGTTTTAATTGCTATGTATTGACATCAACAAAATAGTATGATATTTATTCTCTGAAATTATATCATAGTTAAGTTAAAAATGTTTATAATGATCCAAGCAGAATAACAATAATTATCATAACATCAAAATGATCATCAAAGATCATTATTCATTTGCGATTTATTTTAATGTCATTTTGATGTTATTTTGATAGTTATATTATCATAACTTATTGTTTTTTACTTGATAAATTAGATTGTTAAATTGTCATATTAAGCTGGTGACTGTTACTTCTTAATTATCAATTAATAAAATATAAAAATTTGAACTGTATTTAACAGAGAAACACTATTATTATAAATGCAAATAATCTTATGCATAAAAGTTTATTATTATCATTATTATTATTATTATTATTATATCCCTTCAGCACCACCCTGATATTTTCGATCATAGTTTATACTTTTACAATTGTAAAATTTTTGACAATAAGTTTTTACTATAATAAAAATTGCATTGTGTTTTATTAAGTTTTTATATATTGAAATCTGAACAAGAATTTTGAGAAAACGTGATATCGATTTTGTTTTAAAAGACACAAAATGATGCTGGAGGATTATGTTTATTATTGTTTAAAAATTAAATATGCTTTTCATATTTTCCGAGCGAGTTTATAATATAATTTATAAATACATTCCTCTCTAAAACTAAAGAAAATTATTCAGTTATTATACTTCCATTCGTAGAGTTTCTTTATTTTCCCTTTACATTATTTTTTTCAAGAATTATAGGTTAAATGGCATAATTATGCACTTATGTTTATTAGAATACCTTATGTATAATCACAATTATATTATTATCATTGTATTTTTGATGATTACCGCAATTGATAGGAAATGCGTAGATACTTGTTTTTTCTTGATGATATATTGTTACCACGGAAACAAGCGCAAAAACCATCCCTTAGACTGTTTTTTTTTTACTGTACACGTATATCTTAGTTTTCTTTTGCATTAACAGAGTATAATATTACGGTCGGAAAACGCGTTATTAGATTGCTAATGAAATTATAGGATGTTCATATAAATAATGAGTTCTGTCTTGTTTTATCGTCGTACTATGCGAGGTAACAGCGATTGATCCGTGTTCTTCTGAGGGGGGATGCATTATGTGGGGATGAAATGGACAGTGCACTCTCAGTTTCTTGTCAAACGGGTACACCGGGTACGTCTATATTGATCTTCATTTTCTTTTTTGATAGTGTAGGCGAAGGATATAATGAGTACTGTCAGCCCGGCGGTGAAAATTGGCCTTCGATTCCTTGGCATATGGCCAAATGTATCATATTCTACTACTTATTGGTTGAGCTTTATGTCGAGTATGTTGGTTATACAATACTTCCAATATTTATACATATTTGAACACTTGAGTATGAGCGAGCTGTCAAATCTTGTTGATGGGCTGCCTATGACTCTTGACTATAGTTTGACATTTTTTAAATTAACAAGTCTGTGGATCCAACGTCGGTAAGATATTATTAATTAATAGGAGTCTGGTGATCCATGCTGAACTTTTTGTTCAGGCAATGATATTTTAACTATAAAAAATAATATAATTATACAATGATTTTTCGTATATGTGAATACTTAATTATAATTTATGTCATATTGGTATGTTACCTTTTCTGTGTTATTATATAATACATTTTATAATGTATTTTATATAATCATGATTTTTAAATACATATCTAATATAATACATTTTATTATATATATATTTTTTATGTACATTATATATGTGTACATTATAATGTATATATGTATAATGTATATTGCATTAATAATTTTTGTAATTTTTAAAAACCATTAATATACATGTTATATGATAAATATAACCAAAACAAACAGAAACACCTTACTGGGCACTGATGATCCATGCGATGTAGCGATTAAGTTATTTAAAACCGGACTCTCACAATATTTGTTAACATACAGCGAAGTAATACAATTTTGCTCAATTATTATCTCCAGAAAATGAGATTCCTTTTTGTTATCCTAACATATATTTTAGATGCGATAGTTTTTCTCTCAAATATAAAATTACATACCATCTAAATGTTATTTTAAACATTGATGCGTATAATATTAATGGTTTCTTGCAAAACAGTGTTTTTTCTAAAACATTTAACGAAATAAATAAAATATTGTATAGAAGTCTTCATAAAATTCTTGCTACTATGGATAATGATTGGCGTGAGTGCATCAATACTGATCATCATTTGTATATAATGACAATTAAAGCGAATATTTCGCATTTTATATCTAATGCTTTATTGAGCTTTACTGCCATCGTTGCCGCACTTTACTACTTAGGGGAATACGCAATACGTTTCATATTTCTAATCGAAGATTATAATGATACTTCAAGACAGCTTCCTTTAAAGGTGCAATTTCCTTTTGAAACTCAACAATCGCCGATGTTTGAACTTTTTGCTGGGACAGTATTTTTACATGTGATGTTACACGTGTGCACTGTCGCTATTCTAAATGGATTGATTTTTACCTTGGTAATTTATATTTTTTTTACATATTTGCCTGTGTTTTTTATTTATTTGTTTTTTAATATCAAAGAAATTTATAACGCAATGTTATAATATAATAAAGCCTATCATATCAAATTTTTGCTTTTAATTTATTAACTTAGTTCTATGTGGACTATGCCATTTCTGTCTACAAAAACTTTATAGCAAAATGTCATTATTAAAAACATTTTAAAATAACTATTGTAATGTATTATATAAAAGTATCTTATGTCTATATACTTGAAACACATTCTTTATGGTAATAATTTTCCTTACATGTAGTGATTGTAATGTTTGCAAAACTTGAAGTATATTTTAGGTGCTACACATAAGTGGACAAATTGATATAATATGTCATGAGTTCAAAAATATTTCCAAAAACACTATTCTTCATGAACCTTTTGTACCTTCATTTGGAATGTTAATCGAGAGGCATAACAGAATAATTTCATTTTCTAAGAACATCGAAGAACTCTTCTCCTTCATTGCATTGATGCAAGTTGTTTGGAATACGTTAGTCATTTGCAGTATAGGATTTGTCTTCATAGTGGTAAATACTAATAAATACATTTTCTGGTATTATATACATATATCTTTTATCTTTTTTTTTTTATTATTTGTCAAACTAGTCTATCCATAATGAAGCTGGTGTCTTTGTATTAGTGAAAACCGTTTTTGCTTATTGCGTCATAATGATTGAAGCCTTTGTTATTTGCTTTGCTGGAGAACATCTTAGCCTCAAGGTGCGTATTTAAAAGTCGTAATCAAAAGTACATTATTTTTAACACAACATAATTGTATTAATATGAAAGATAATCGTGATTGACTCGTATGATTTTTAAAATCATAATTGTATTATTTTGATAATAAAAATGTTTGATATTATTTTCTAATAAAAATATTTTAATGTGTTGCAATATATTGTACATATAGTATTATTTAAGAAAATAAAATTCAAATTAATCTTTTTTATTTTATATTAATTATATTAAAGAGAATTATATTTTTTGGTACACTGTAATATTATGATAATGTGTAATTTATCTCTTGTAATGAAGAGTACTAAAATTACAAAATTATCAATAAATTTTTTATTACAACTAGACCTCCTATATTTTAATAATACAAAATATTTTCATGAAAAATTTTAATATTGTTATAAAAATTATTCTTGTAACGTCTGTAGTTTTGTCACAAAAAATGTTTTTGTCACAAGAATTGAATAGAAAAAATAAGCTAATCAATTTGAAATTATTTGTAATCCTTTTTAGGGCAATTTAATTGCAAATGCAACATATGAAACACTGTGGTATGAAATGCCAGTAAATACAGAAAAGATTGTAATGTTTATAATAATGAGGTCTCAGAAACGACTGACGATCACGGCAGGGAAAATGATAGATATGTCATTTGATACTTTTACACATGTAATTTTTTAAAATTTTTAAATAGTTCGGGCACTTCATTTTACTTTTTTTTATTTATTTTATTTATTATATTAACATTTTTTTAAACACTTTTCCGTTTTACATAGTCATGTCTTATAATTTAAATAAAATCTTTTATAATTTTTTTAGATCATGAAGGCATCAGCATCTTATATATCTGTTTTAAATGCTATATATTGATATTATCAAGAATTAATTTTTTAAAATTATAATATTATTTACATAAGTCATAAGTTAGAAAGTATATGGAAACAGAATTAAGAAAATCTAAATGTTATTATCACATTTAATTATTTTTTAAACTATTAGTTATAATACATATATTACATAAGTTGTATTTTTGTTATATAAACAATTAACTTAATTAGAAATAATTCCTTCTTTTTGGAGTACTATTATTTATTTTTAAAATGACATATATGTTATATCTATGTCATATGTTAGTGGACACTGTCTTTTAATAAAAACCAAAGAATAGCATATTCAATTTGTATGAATATACATATTTTGTATCTAATTTATTAATTTTATTGATAATGTCTTCTGTCCAACTTTTATTTTAAAATTTTCTCTTCTGTACGAGTCTTTAATATAATTACGTTCCTCAAATTATTAGAGGAAATTTTCAATCAGTATAACTCTAATTATAGAATTCCTTTCTTTGTGGATTACGTTATTTCTTTTAAGACCATAAGTTAAATAAATACAATCCATTTCTAAAATTATAGTGTTTGTAATATTGAGAACAAAAGCGACTGGTGATTATGGCAGGAAAAGTGATGAATGTCATTTGAAACTTTTACGACTGTAATCTTTCAAATATTTTTATATATCTGGTAATTATTATAATTTCATACCATAGTTAAGTTAAAACAGATTAGAAATATGAATCAGAACTCAAATTATCATATAAAGTTGGTTTCTGTTACTTATTAATTATTAGTTAATAAATAACACAGATTTAAATTGCATTTAATGGAATAGTTATTAATTGTAAATGCAAAATAATCTCATATATCTTGTGAATTATTTTAATTTTTTATTCTCTCTCTCTCTCTCACTCTCTCTCTCTCTCTCTCTCTCTCTGTCTCTCAACAAAATAAAAACTTGCAGTAGTATGTAGGCTATTATTTTTAATCGATTGCTTTTTATCACAGGATTGGCAATTTAACTCGTATTTTATTGAATTATTTACAATTACACGTCTATATTATCTCCAATTGCCATTTTTACTTTTAAATTTGTACAATATACAAGTTTGTATATACGCAAAAACGTTTTTTGAATTATTAGTGGAAATAACGAATTACTTTATGTTCAGTCAGTGAGTCCTATTGTTTTCTCCTCATCATATTTCTTCAAAGATTTGAAAATCAATTAAATGAGCGCAATTTATTTCCATTTACTTAGAATATCTAATATGTGTAACCACCACGTCGTGTATATAATATTTTCATGAAAGGCAGGAATTGTGGTGAACATCTGGTCACTTCTTTCTTACCTATAATTTTGTGTTAAAAAAAATTGTATAAAAAAGAACTGTCTCGCAATAAAAGCTTTTTTTGTATTATCTTAGCTGTACAATATCTTCATTACTATACGGTCAAAGAATTATACGTTATTAGACTGTTTATGGAATTATCGTATAATAAAATTATGAACTCTGTTTCGTCTTATCGTCATACTGTGCAACGTACGTATAATAGCGATTGATCCATATTGAGTGGGGACGCACCGTGTGGGGATACACTTGGAGAAATGGACAGTGCTCTCTTATTTCCTTCTCAACTAGAGTACAGAACAAATGTGTCGAAACTAAACTTTATTTTCTCATTTTCTCACGTTTTTAAAATTATTGGCAAATGATTACATCTAGTATTAGTCCAGCGTTGAAAGTTGGCCTCCGATTTCTTGGCATGTGGCCAGGTGATTCATACTCTACCATTCATTGGCTGAGCTTTATGTTGAGCATGTTGATTTTACAGTACTTCCAATATTTGTACATATTTGGTCACTTAAAGATGAGCGAGTTGTCAAATCTGGTTGACGGTCTGATTGTGGCTTTAGATTACAGTTTGACGTTATTTAAATTGACCAGTCTGTGGGCATATCGTCGGTAAGATAACATGCATCATGTAATGGTTCAGCTCTCTCTCTCTATGCTCTACAACTATAATCAAGAAACCAGACTGTCCCTTAATTCCTTAATATTAATTTTCTAAGAGGATTCTCTCTAGTGGAAGTGACTACTGATATATAAATCATAATTCAAATATTGAAATATATGTATAATATTGATTGTTTTATAAAAAAAGTGTGTGTGTATATTGTGATTATTTAAAACATATCACAAATTAAAGTAACATATTGCAGAGTTTTTCATAAAATCTTGGCTGCTATGGATAATGATTGGCGCGAGTGCATCAATGTGGATAAGCATTTGTATTTGATGACTGTTAAAGCGAATGTAGCACATTTCACGTCTAATATTTTATTGAGTGTTAATGCGGTCGTCGCAGTACTTTACCTCTTAGGCGACTACGTAATTCATTTCGTATTCTTGATTGAAAATGAAAATGATACTTTACGGCAGCTTCCTATAAAAATACAATTTCCCTTTGAAGTTCAACAATCGCCAACATTTGAGTTTCTCGTTGTAACATTGTTTATACATGTGGCAATACATGCATGCACAATTGCTATTCTAAATGGATTAATCTTGACTTTGGTAATGCATATTTGTATATAAATATCATTTTATGATTTATTATGTAATTAATTTATTTATTTATAACGCATTGTAAGCACAGTCACATTAAAATTTTTCTTAATTATATATTTTTATCGTTGAATTGTATATTATTGTGTATAAAACATTTTAAAGAGTATTATATTAAAGTCAATATTAGAAAAATTTAATTATAATATCTGCACAATACATTTTTTCGTTATTATAATAAGTATGTAAACATAATAATATTATTTTTATTGTATTGTTATTTATTTTTACTGTATTTGAAATATTTTCTTCAAAAAGTCCTTTACGTTATAATTATAATTTTTTTATGAGAATGCAAGTATATTTTAGGTACTTCATGTAAGCGGACAAATTGATATAATGTGTCATGAATTCAGAAATATTCCTAAAGTACCTTTTCTTCATGAATCTTCCGAATCTTTATTTGGATTACTGATTGAGAAGCATAATAAAATTATTTTATTTTCCAAGAACATTGAGACACTCTTCTCTTTTATTGCATTAATGCAAGTTGTTTGGAATACGTTAGTTATTTGCTGTTTAGGATTTATTATCGTGATTGTAAGTACTATAATATACATGCGCAATGATTGATTATACGTATTCATTTTTCTTTTTTATAATTCGTTGAATTAGTCTATTTATAACAAAACTGGGATTTTCGTGTTAGTGAAAACTATTTCTGGTTACTTCGTTGTAATGATTGAAGCCTTCGTAATTTGCTTTGCCGGAGAATATCTTAGCTTAAAGGTAAATATTCAATACATAATAAATCGTATCTTACAAAAGCTTTTAATCACACAATTATATTAATGTAATAATAAAAATACGATGTTATTTTTTAATAAAAATATTTAATCTTTAGCATCAAGATATCATTTAAGAGAATTTTCCCAATGAAAATGTTTTTTATTATATATTATAGTATAATACCAATAATATTTATTTCTTCAATGAATAATGACGTTTCAAAACAAGTAAAACATTTCAAATTTAATTTAATTTTACTATTTTTTTACTATAATTTTTTTATTTCTTTTAATATTTTCAAATCTATATATAACATTTTTTTAACATCGACAATAATATTAGAAAAACTACTGTAAAATAAATTAAACAATTAGATATAAAAGGAGTCGTTGCGTTTGCATTATTTTTAGGGTAAATCAATCGCCAATGCAATATACGAATCACTATGGTACGATATGCCATCAAATGAAAATAAAATTATAGTATTTATAATAATGAGGTCTCAAAAACAACTAGCGATTACGGCAGGAAAAATGATGGATATGTCATTGGAAACATTTACTCGTGTAATTTTTTAAATTTTATGGATATTTAATTATCACCAAATAATTTTATGTATATTTTACTTATTATTTTATAATCTACTATTATGTGTGTATGTGTGTGTCTTTTATGATTAAATATAATTTATAATTCCAACTTTATTCCTTAACTTGTATTTTTTTTAGATTATGAAGGCATCAGCATCGTATATATCCGTTTTAAATGCTATGTATTAATATCAACAGAAGATATCAGCATGTATTTATTTGGTGCAATTATAATATAATCAATAATAAGCGATAAGTAAAAAATATTTACAAGAAATTACGACTTAAATTATATTGACAACTGTTTCATTAATAACTGTCGATTAGTAAATTACACAACTGAAATTACATTCGTTATATAAAAATATTTAATGTAAATGCAAACAATTTTTTAAATATTTTTAAATAATTTATTATATTGTTACTCTTAAGAGCAATATTTACTTATGTAACACGTCAAGCATTGACTTTTTATTAAAAATTCATATGTATTTGTCTGTATTCTATCGCATGTACCATATTAAAAAAATTTTTTTATATAAGATTATATATATAAATACATATAAATATATTATATATGTATGAATATAAACATAAAAATTGCCGTTTAATGAGTGTTTCGCTAATGGTTGCATCCAATTAGACATTCTCAAGTAAAAGATTAGATATTATACATTAGTTTACCATATATTTCAGGACCTAAAATAAAATATGACATCGGCACATCTCTTCTCGCATGCTATCTTAAATACGTCTTGAAAAATATAATGGACCAATCAGAAATTGTCTAAACGATGTCCAATCTCTTAGTTGAGGCTTTCTAGATTTAATATGGAGACATGGATATCATTTCTGTATATTATATACTCTTCTAGCCTATAACAACAGAATTTATAATTTTATAAAAATTTTTTAAAAGAAACAATATAAAATGATTTTTAAATATTTTTTTTTATGTCTTTTCGTATTATATTATCATCCTTACACTAAACAAAAATTAAAAGAAAGAAACATTTATGTACACAATGGTCATATTTTATAGAAATAGTTATATATATTTTTATATATATCATATATATCCTTATATAAATAATTTTTTATTAAGCTTGTGATTAATTTTTATATCTCAGATTTAAAAAAATTTACTTTTGAAACATTTTCTACAAACGAGTTTTGCATAATAATATTTTTTGAATTACTTATCACATTACGCTATTTAATCCAATTAGGAAATTCTGATTTTCTCCTTTTATCATATTTCTTTAAAAAATTAGAGAGATATTAACTTATTTTGTATATAAAATAATATGACATAATCGACTGTATCTTTGTTAATATTTGAAATTTCGTATTCGGATTAAAAATTTTACATTTTTAAGACACAAACTATCGATTTAAGCAATAAAAAATTGTTCGATTTTTTGAAAGTTTTCAGGGTAGACTAACCCCTCAATAATTTAAAAACAATTTCCTACATCAGCAATAGTTATTCGTAATCAAAAATAATTTTAATCATTTATAATGGTTATTCATGGTCAGAATCGCTTTAAGAGAAAATTAATTGTTATGCTACAACTTTTTTTACTTTGGTTATAATAGTTACGGTTATAATAGTTACCTCTGATAATTTTCATGTAGTATTAGACATTTGTTTCTTGTTGTTGGAATTACGTTGCCAAAGAGACAGAGCTACAAAAAAAAAGAAATTGACGCGTATCGAACTGTTCTTTTCCTGTTTCTGGAATATAATAACATTGCTACTTTACATTCGAAGTATAAGTTATCAACCTGTTTATAAAATTATGGTATATGCATATAATGAGTTCTGTCTCGAATTATTGTCGTGTGCTGTACGACGTATAATAGCGATTGATCAATATTCACCTGAATAGAGACACTTGTGGGGTTATACTTAAAAGAATAGATGATACTTTTTCATTTCCATCTCAACTACAGTATCGAACAAATATATAAAAACTAATCTTTATTTCCTTAAATGTTACAAATTTATTGATAAATGGTATTCAGAAGTACTGTTAGCCCAGTACTAAAAATTGGTCTCCAAATGCTCGGTATTTGGCCGTGTGTTTCGTATTCTACCGTTCATTGGTTAAGTTTTATGTTAATCACATTAATCATACAATACTTTCAGTATTTATACATTTTTGAACACATGAAGATTAGCGAGCTTTCGAATCTCATTGATTGTTTAACTGTAACTTTCGATTTTAGTTTAGCATTATTTAAATTGATTGGTCTGTGGATACATCGTCGGTAAGTATTTATAATTACACAATTGCAATATGTAATAATTTAATTTTGCTCAAAAACAAGTGTCGTGTTCAAAAACAAGGTTTTATTTTAGTTTCTAAACACATTGTTAATGCGACTTATGATAACCAAGAATAAATATTTAATAGTAAACTTTACAGTTCGAGATTGTTGATAAACACAACACATTCTTGTTCTCTTAAAAAAGGTGCAACCTTTCTCTCTCTCTATAGGAAATTTAATAAATTAAAATAACATATTACAGAATTTTTCATCAACTCCTGGTTGCTATGGATAATGACTGGCACGAGTGCATCAATAATGATCAGCATTTGTATTTGATGATCATTAAAGCTAACATATCGCATCTTGTTTGCAATGCTATATTGAGCATTATTGCAGTTGGTTCAGTAGTTTATCTCTTAGGCGATTATGTAAATCGTTTTATATTTTTAAATGAAAATGACAACATAACTTCACGGCAGCTTCCCATAAAGATACAACTTCCCTTTGAAACTCAACAGTCGCCGATATTTGAATTTCTAGTTATAACAATATTTTTACTTGTACTGTTACACGGATTCACGCGTTGTACTTTAAATGGATTAATTCTTACTTTGGTAACTTTTACATTTTATTTCTAATCTTTAAAATTTTTATTTTTGACTAATTTTTTAGTAAACATTAATTAATGGTGATATAACATTAATTTTATAATTTTACATTTAATATAACTGTTATGTACAACATGTGTTATATTGTACTTATATTATTGAATGTACAATTATGAAATTTTAATATTATATTACTGTTAGTTGGCGTTTACTAGGTTAAATGTAATAAAGCAATTTGTGAAACAAGATTGTATTAAATTATTGATACTATACCGAATTAAAATTTTATATTAAATAATTTGTGCAATATTGATGATAAATTGTTATATATTTATTTGATAGCTTGTATAATATGTCTAATTAATGCTTGTGTTAAGAAAATTAAATATTACGAGAAAAATTTTCTAACTGATGAATATACTATATAAGAATATATATATATATACTATAAGTATTATATATATATATACATAAAATGTTTATTCATTATATTCAAAATACATTTTTTATAGCAAGAATCTTTTTCATATCTAATAATTACGATTTTTTAAAAATGTAAATATGTTCCAGGTGCTTCATGTAAGTGGACAAATTGATATAATGTGTTATGAGTTTGGAAGAATTTCTAATAAGAGTGTGTTTCATCATAAATCTATCGTATCTTTATTTGGAACGCTGATCGAGAGACACAATAGAATTATTTCATTTTCCGAGAAGATCGAAGAACTTTTCTCCTTTATTGCGTTAATGCAAGTCGTTTGGAATACGTTAGTTATTGGCAGCCTAGGATTTTTCATGATAATTGTAAGTTTTATAATATTGTGTAATAATTGATACATAATATTTATTTTTTTGTTCAAATTAGTCAATTCATAACGAAACTGTTATCTTCGTGTTGATAAAAACTATTGTTGGTTACCTTGGCATAATGGCTGAAGCTTTTATTATTTGCTTTGCCGGAGAATATCTTAGTCTCAAAGTAAGCATTTAAGTATTTAAGATTTTATTTTTTTAAACATTAATATGTATTATACATATTATACGTACATACAAAATTTTTCGATTCATATAATTAACTTACTATAATGAAATACCTAGCGTTGATTCCTAACGATAATAAATATTTTGATATATTACGGTGCATACAATATTTTAGACATAAATAGGAGAATTATTTAAATATAATAATTATTGTAAATATAATTATGCAAAAAACTTTGCATTTGACACTATTAGCTTTTAGGGTAAATTAATTGCTAATGCAACATACGAATTGCTGTGGTATAATATGCCGTTAGGTCAAAGTAAAATGTTAATACTCGTAATAATGAGATCTCAAAAGCGACTAATGATCACAGCAGGAAAAATGATGGACATGTCATTTGATACTTTTACGAATGTAATTAAAAAAATTTTTGGATTACTTAATTTTTAAAAGATTATTTCGTTTTGTTTCTAATCAATTTGCTGCATATGTTCTTTATGTATAAATATAATTTATAGATTTAAATAAATTTTTCTATTTTTCTATTTTAGATCATAAAAGCATCAGTATCATATATATCTGTCATGAATGCTATGTATTAATACAAATAAAAACGAAATATACATTTGTGGCAATCATAAATTTTAAAAGTAATTATTGTAAGTTAATTAGTAAAACAATATTGAGAATAAGTTTAGAATTAAGTTGTTATGATTAGTTTATTAATTGTTCTTTATTAATTATTATTTACTAAATTACATAAATTAAAAATTACATTTAATAAACAGCAATTAATACAAATGCAAATAATTTTTTAACTTTGTGTATCATTATATATATTATACGTTCTAGTTTAAAAGAATATTGATGCTGAGTATGTTAGGATGTTTTTAGACATTAATTCTTTACTAGAGAATCGTATATTGAATTCGCGTATAGATATATTCCGTTGGTTATAGGCATATTGAAAACTAAATGTTAATATCCCTAATTACAAACTTTGTACTTTTAAAATTTCTTCCTCAAACGAGTTTTCAGTATGATACCGTTCATAAAATCATTAGAAGAAATTATTCATCATTACACTTGTATTCTGTTGGTTTCCCCTCACTTTATTTCTTTAAACACCAGAGGTTGAACTGCAAGAATATAATTCAGTTTCGTTTGCTTAGAATATTTAATATATAATTAATGTCGTTCTATACAGAATGTAATGGACATTTTTTTCTTTTTGATGGAACTATATTTTCAAGAGACAAGTTTGCAAGAAAAAGAAACTGACAATTACACATCGAGTTGTTCATTCAGAGTTCAACATCTTTATTACTTTGAAAATAATGTACGTTGTTAGACTACCAACAGAAAATTGCACAATGTCCATAAAAAAATTAGCTCTCTCTCGATTTGCTATTATACTACAAAATTCATGGCGATTGATCCATACTTACGCGAGTGGGGATTGTGTACTCCGTGGGGATATATTACTTGGAGAAATTTGTACAATACAGTCTTATTTACTTCTCATCTAAAATATCATACAAATGCTCAAATACTGATCTTTATTTTCTTATGTTTTAAAAATTATTAGCAAATGGTCATTACAAGTACTGTCAGCCCAGCGCTGAAAATTGGTCTTCAAATACTTGGCATTTGGCCGAATGTTTCGTATTCCACCATTCAATGGCTGAGTATTATGTTAAGCACATTGATTATACAATGCTTTCAATATTTGTATATTTTTGAACATTTGAAGATCAGCGAGCTTTCGAATCTTATTGACGGTTTGACTGTAACTTTAGAATATAGTTTGACGTTATTTAAATTGATTGGATTATGGATACATCGCCAGTAAGATATTCTCTATGTAATGGTTTAACGCTTAATCGTCGTGTTAAAAAAACAAGATTTCCTCTCAGTTTCTTAACACATCATTGGTTTTATTTACTATAATTAAAAGTGATATAATATCATCTGGACTTTAGCTTAATTGTTGTTAAATACAAAGTTGATCTCTCGAAAAAATGTGATTTTTTTATCTGAAACATTTGACAGATTAAAATATTATAATATATTGCAGAGTTTTTCATCAAATCTTGGCTGCTATGGATAATGACTGGCGCGAGTGCATCAATATAGATAAACATTTGTACATGATGACAATTAAAGCTAATATAGCACATTTCATTTCTAACGCTTTATTGAGTGTTAATGCGTCTGTTACGATACTTTATCTTTTAGGCGATTATGTAATTCGTTTTGTGTTTTTCACTGAAGATCAAAATGATACTTTACGACAATTTCCTATAAAAATACAGTTTCCCTTCGAAACTCAACAATCGCCGATATTTGAGTTTTTTGTTGTAACTATATCTTTACATGTAATGTTACACGTCAGTATACTTTGCATTTTAAATGGATTGGTTCTTACTTTGGTAACTATGATATATATTTTATATATATATTCTGAATTAATTTGTACGTAACACAGCAATTTGTGAAGATTATAATATATTTATAACTATAGTGGATCGGTCATATTAATATTTTACTTTAAATATATAGAATTTTGTTGTACATAATTTGTTATATCTTCTGTATGTAAAAAATCTGGAAGTATAATTAATGCTCGTGTTCGATAAATCTTGAAATTAATTTTACAAGAAAAACTCTTGAATAAATAAGTATTTTTTATAAAATGTTTGTATTGTATTCAAAATACATTCATTGTAGCACAAAATTTTTTTTAAATAAAGCATTTTTTTATATATAAGCAAAAATTTAAGTATATATTGTAGGTACTACATGTTAGCGGACAAATTGATATAATATGTCATGAATTTAAAAAAATTAAGAGTACTCTTCTTCATGAATCTGTCGTGTCTTTATTTGGAATATTAATCGAAAGACACAATAGAATTATATCATTCTCTGAGAGCATTGAAAAGCTTTTCTCCTTTATTGCATTAATGCAAGTTGTTTGGAATACGTTAGTTATTTGTTTTCTAGGATTTTTCATTATAATTGTAAGTTTCATAGTAAATGTGCAATAATTAACACCGTGTAAATTATCTTTCTCTTTATTGTTTATCGAACTAGTGTATTCATAGTGAAACTGGTGTTTTCGTATTAATAAAAACGGTTCTTTCTTACTTTGCTATAATGGCTGAAGCTTTCATCATTTGCTTTGCTGGAGAATACCTTAGTCTCAAAGTAAGTATTTTATTATCTAACTATTTACGAAATAATGAATTAAAAAAAATTTCTTGGCACTATATTATACAAACCATAAATATATATCTCTAATAAGATTTCAAAGAAATAAATTAAAATAGGTACTTATTCTAATTTATTATAATATTTGTATGTAATATAATCATGATATTATATATATATAATGAAATACATGGTGTTGTTTACTGGGTATAATGTGTACTGAGTATAATATATTAAAGTGCATATAATATTATTCAAAAGCATTGAATTATATAAATAATAACGTTTTCTATAATTATAAATGTTATTTATTTTATAAATATAATATATTTTAAGAGTAATGTCGACATTTCTAATAAAAAAGTTGTTGTAAATTTAAAATATTGTCAGTTAGTTTAATTAGAAATATGTTATTTTATAATAAAATTAAAAATAAAAGAATAGAATTCTAATTACAAATTTTTTTTTACTAATTTTTCTTGTATTTGTACTTCCTTCTAATTGTACTTTCTTTGTTATTTTTTAGTGTTTTCTTTTTTTTTTAATATCATAATATTGGCAACATTACTAATAATAATTAAAGAATGATTTTATTTGAATAAGTAAAATCAATAAATATTACTTTATGCAAAAAGTCTTCACATTTAAAACTATTTGCTTTTAGGGTAAAGTAATTGCAAATGCAATATACGAATCGTTATGGTATGATATTCCGTCTTGTCAAAGTAAAATGATAATATTTATAATAATGAGATCTCAAAAGCGACTGACGATCACAGCAGGAAAAATGATGGATATGTCATTTGACACTTTTACAAATGTAATTTCTAAAATTTCTTCTACATCTAATTTTTTAGAAATTTTATTTTGCTTATAATAAATCTACTTTTTGTGTCCTTCATATATATAAATATGATTTATAGAGATTTAATTCGTCTGTTTCTATTTTTTAGGTCATGAAGGCATCAGTATCATATATATCCGTCCTAAATGTGATGTATTAACAAAAATGTAATATACATTTGTTGAAATAATAACGTCATTAATGAATTAATAAGTAAATCAATTGGTAATAAATTTAAAATTAAATTGTTTTTAACAGGTTATTAGCTATTATTAATTTGTAATTAGTTGATAAATTATATAAACTAAAAGCTTCACTTATTACAAAATATTTACATATTATAAATGAAAATATGTTTGTATTTTCTATTATTGTTAGTTATTTTAATTTTATTATTATTATTATTATAATATTATAATATATTAAATTATATATTTATATTTAACGAATACGTTGGATTTTCAGACATTCACTCTTCATTAGAGAATTGTATATTTAATTTAAGAATATCCGTTGGATATAGGTGGACTTAATTAAAGACATTTGTAATATCTCCAATTGAAAAAATTTTATAAATTTCTTTCTCAAGCGAATATTCTTTATGATAATTTAGTATCATTAAAGGGAATTATTTATTATTACATCCTCATTTCTTTTTTCTTTTTTCTGTTATTCTCCTCCTAATTATTTCTTAAAAAAAAAGCAAAGGTAAAACTGTACACGCACGAATGTAATTCAATTCAATTCGTTTAGAATATCTGATATACATACAATTATCATTGTTCTGTACGTTTTTTTGCTATATACAGAAAGTAACAGACATTTGGTTTTTTTTGTTGGAATTGCGTTGTCAAGAAAGTTTATAAAAAAAAGATAACTGACAATTAGGCATCGACTTGTGCATTCTGAGTTTGAGTCCGATATCTTCATTACTTTCCGTGTATATGTTAGATCATTAACAAAAAATTATAGGATGTCTATACAAATAATAAGCTCTATTTCGATTTGCTGTTATATTACTCACAATACATTGATAAATCCATATTTACGTGAGAGGGGATGAACGACGTGGGGTTGCAATTGAAGAAACTGTTAGTATTCTTTCAGTCCTTTCACAAACCATATAGTGCTAGATAAACGTATCGAGGTTGATCTTTATTTTCTCACAATTTCAATATTACGAATGATAGTCACAAGTACCGTTAGTCCGGCGTTAAAAATCGGTCTTCAACTGCTTGGTGTGTGGCCTGGTGTGTCCATTCCGTATTGGCTAATTTATATATGTAGCATACTAATTGTGCAATACTTCCAATATCTATATGTATACAAGCATTTCAAGATCAGTGAGCTTTCGAATCTCGTCGATAGCTTACCCGCGTCTTTAGATTACAGCTTGACAATTTTTAAAATAATTATTCTTTGGATACATCGTCGGTAAGGTGTCATGTTGCTGCAAACGTTAACTTTATCAAATATTGTTCTGTTTATAACACAAAATAATAATATTATAAATTTGATATTAGTTTCTCATATATGTAACATACGTGTTGATTAAAGCTGTGTTTCATTGCACGCATAATAAGAATAAAAAAATTATTTTATCCTTGTTTAATAGGGGAGTCCGAGTCTCGTTGGCACAAGAGATAAGTTGGCATCGCGTTCAGTTTATGTATCTGTGGCAAAAGAAACAATAGTTACTATAAAATATATCTTTTATAACATAGGTACTTATTCTTAAGTTTCATTTAAATCAAACAAGTATTATAATAAAAAAAAAGAATAATGTAATTCAAGAAGCACGAAGTAGATTTTCGAGCTTTTCAATATTTTGCATTAATACGTTTCAGCTTGAGAAAATAAATCTAAATGACATATTATTAGTTAAAAGAAAAGCTTTTGTTATTATATACGACATGTTATTTTGAGTGATGATAGTAATTTGTTACAATAAAACTATTAAAATCAAATTTATGTGGAGATGGAGTACGTTTACTCATATTTAATGCAACTTATGCAAGGTCAGCATAGGTTCGCATGATTTGCTATTGTTTGCACTTTGCACGTGAAAGTCGTAAGAACAATTTCGATCGGAAACCATTCCGATTTTGTTCCATGATAGGTACCTATAACTTCTCTTACGAGGTTATGTCTTGATATATGTATACTATAGGCAACTTGTCTCATGGTATCTCTCAACTTATCCCTCTATCGGAGCAAGCGGCTGCAATGTAGCGTGTTCGTATTACACTTAATACAAAGAAACTGTACATTTATATACGGAATCGTTTCTAGCTTCAAAATGTAGGAAAAGGTTCTTTCTATCATATTAGCATAGTTTAATCATACTAATCAGTTATTTAAAGGACTTAATGCTGAAATTGTGAAAGCATGCAGTGCCAACGAGATCTGATTTCCCCTACTCTGCGAGCAACAAGGATAATGCAATATCTCATACGCATTACGCGTTTAACGGAACGCAACCAAAATTTTCTCTAAACAAAAAGAATCTTAATACAATTAATGTTTATACAGTTTTGTATAGACAGTATCATCTTTATCCCAATAACTGTCCAATAAAATAACATATTACAGAGACCTTTATCAACTTTTGGCTGCTATGGATAACGATTGGCATGAATGCATTGATACCGATCAGCATTTGTATGTGATGACAATTAAAGCCAATATGTCACATTTTTATTCTAATGTTCTGTTTAGTATTTATACAACTGCCGGGATGTTTTACCTTTTAAGCGGTTATGTAGTTCGTTTTATATATGGAACTAAAGATTACAATGATACTTTGCGGGAGTTTCCTATCAAAATACATTTTCCTTTCGAAACTCAGCAATCACCGATTTTTGAACTGCTAGCCGTAACTTTATTTCTACATGTGATGTTAAATACGTGCACGGTTTCTATTTTAAATGCATTAATTTCTACCTTAGTAAGTTTTATTTTATAAATTATTGTTTTGATGTTTCATGAAAATCATTTATCTGCATGTAATATTAGTAAAGAGAGACACTTCAGAATAAATACTTTTGAAACTTTTACGAGTATCTTCTTCAAAAGTACTAAAGGATTTGCGGGTTATCGTTGTGTCGTGATGCATTGCTAATGCCAACTAAACTTTTGTTTTGAGGTGCCACAAAGGGTTTACGGGTTATCGTCATGTCGTGATCCATTATTAAGACCAAAGTTTTGCGAACCTTTCCATTCACTTCATTAGGACAAGAAGCGCACTGATAAAGTGAACGGCATGGTTGACGAAATGTTACCATTAGCAATGGATCGCATGGAGATAATCAGCAAACTCTTTGACACTCAAAACAAAATTTAATTTTTAACATACACTTCGATATGTAAAATTTATATAGGTATACGAATTATGACGTGTTATATACAAACTTAATTTTATTATAAGATTTTATATCACTGTCAAAAAAATTTAATAAGGACCGTGTCGATTATCGGTAACCAATTGTAAATTTTCCGTTCATGCCACATTGAACACTGGTAACCGATATAATACAAAATTTTATATCCTTATACTAAAAATTGCAAAATTTTAGCATTAGAAAAAAGAAAATGTATAGCTAAATACAGCATGAATGGAGGGATAAATAAAATACTCTCGGCACTTAATGTGTTAATTAGATAATACTGATAAGCGCGCGCGCGCAATGCGTTTTATACCAAGCAATTCTTTATAAATATATATATATATATATATATATGTGTGTGTGTGTGTAATACTTCTTAAATTCGGAAATTTGAAAACGATGCAGAAATTTATGTACCTATATACTTTAGGTACTTCATATAAGTGGACAAATTGATATATTATGTCAAGAATTTAAAACTATCTCTGCAAAAGCTCTTCCTGATAAAACTTCCACATCTACATTAGGGATATTGATTGAGAGACACAACAGAGTTTTTTGGTTTTCTGACAATATCGAAAATCTTTTCTCCTTTATTGCCTTAATGCAAGTTATATGGAATACCCTAGTTATTTGCAGCCTGGGATTTATTATTATAATTGTGAGTAGCAACAAATTTATTGTGATTAATATTACAGTTAATGCATATATTTGGTTTTATTATTGATCAATATAGTCGTTTTATACTGAGACTGGTGTCACAACAATATTAAAATCCATTTTTGCTTACCTTGCTGTAATATTAGAAGTTTTCATCTTATGTTTTGCTGGAGAATATCTCAATCTAAAGGTTAGTAAGTATTTAAAAATTATTAATTGCAAGTGTAAAGCAAAATGCTTATAAAATAAAGATGTTATATTTATAACATTTATAACATAATCACAAATAGACATTTTTATAATGGAAAATAATAGAAAAGTGTAATGTGCTTATTTTTTTTGTGGGTATTAGAATTCTTTTATTTATAACAGAACTTGAAAATATATAAGATTATTGGTGATACATATTGGTCAAATATTAGCATGTGTCAGGAATACATCAATATCACGCCAATAAAGTGGATGAGATTACAATTTTGCTAAAAGGAAGTGATACTAAAAAAGAAACTGAATTTTTGTAATATGTATTATAATATTCTATTTTTATATTTTAAATGTCTTTAATGCTACTTTTTGTAATACATATCTACACTGATTCTATTTTTCCACAATAATATTTATCCACGATATATATTTACTTTACTTCAAAGCTTTTTTTCAAAGCTTTATAACTGTAAGAAATTAGAAGCATTGTCATTATTTTTATTATAAATAAGATTTTCCAACGATATTTGATTTAATAAGAAACTTATTATATTGTTATTTTTTATATCTTTGCGTTTTTTTACAGAGTGAATTAATCGCTGATGCAGCATATGAATCATTTTGGTATGATTTATCGTTGAATCAAAAGAGAATTTTAATGTTTATAATAATGAGATCTCAAAAACAACTCATGATCACGGCAGGAAGAATCACAAGTTTATCTTTAAGCACATTTACGAGTGTAAGTTTTTGGAATATCTTTCTAAATAGTTGAATAAAATATTTTGATATTCAATAAAAATATATGTATGTACTGAGGAGCAAAAATGAATCGCTTTTTTGAAGTAGATAGGTGTAGATAAGCGTGTCATCCACAACTTATAGATAATATTTATACACCTATCTACGCCAAAAAAAGAATTTTACTTTTGCTCCACAGTGAACGTGCATGTGTTTGTAAATTAACTTTCTTAACATCTTTTAGATCATAAAAGCATCAGCATCGTATATATCTGTCTTACATGCAATGTATTAATATTAAAATTAACAACAGTGATTAAATGAAATTGTAGTATCATTTAAAATATTAATATAGATATATTGTTAATAATTATTATTTTAGTATTTTTTTTACTTCCTAATCGACTGCGTAATTTGTTTTATTATTTTAACTAAAGATTACAACTTTACTTTATAACAGCTTTCTATAAAAATATAAATTCCCTTTGAAACTATAAAATAAAGTAAATTTTTATCTGTTATTACTGATTATTATATCGAGCAACACACAATTTAATTTTGATCAAAAGATTCTCAAATAATAGTGTAACATTAAAACTAACTCCATATACTTATCGTTTTGATGATTATACGACTATTTATTTTGGATTTTTACTGCATATTTGTTGAAACATAGATAATATAAACTAAATAGTAAAAAGATGCTGAAATAAATTCAAAATTAAATGTTTATAAACAAATTATTAATTTTTATTAGTTATTAATAAATTCTGTATATTTAACAATTACATTTTATATAAAGCAATTAATATATATTATATACTAATTATTTTTTGTTTTTGTATATTATTATTATATTTCGTATTATATATTATATTATCTTACATAAAAGAATATGCTGTTATGAAATACGTTGGATATGTTGATCCTTTATTAGAGAATTGCATTCAGTTTGTAGAGACATACAGTTATATTTAAAACTAAATGTTTATAACAACTTCAACTGAAAACTTTTTATTTTTGAAATTTCTTCCTCAAGCGAGTTCTGTGCATGATAACATTACTAGAATCATTAAAGGAAATTACACCTCACTGTATATCCCATCCATGTTTCTCCCCTCAAATTATCTCTTTCAAAACCAGAGGTAGAACTGCAAGAATACAATATAGTTCCGTTCTCTTAGAATGAAATCTAATATATAATTAATTGTTCTGCTATATATTTAACGATTTTTATGATGTGCAAAATGTACTAGACGTATTGTTTCTTTCTATTGATATCGCGTTGCCAGGAGACGTTTGCAAAAAAAAGGAACATTAATAATTACGGATCAAATTATTCATTTAAAGTTCATAAGTTTGATTTTTTACTTTGTTACCTTGCACACATTACATTGTTGAACTGTCATCAAAGACAATTATAAGATGTGTATATAAATCATAAGCTTTATCTGGATTTGCTGTACTGCACAATACGTGGCGATTGATCCATTGCGTGTGTGGGGATGTACTCTATAGGGTTGCAATTGATGAAACTGCCAGTGCACTTTCAATTTTTTTTCAAACTGGAGTATAAATGTTCTAATCTTTATTTCCTCGCGATTTCAATACTGTATGCGAATGACAGTTACAAATACCGTTAGTCCAGTGCTGAAGATTGGTCTTCAATTACTTGGTGTATGGCCGGGAATGTCCACCTTATATTGGAATATCTATCATATAATTAATATACTTTGTATACTGACTTTACAGTATTACCAATATCGATATGTATTTGAACACTTCAATATCAGTGAGCTTTCAAACCTCGTTGATAGCTTAACAGCGGCTTTAGCTTTCAGTTTAATAATTTTGAAAGTAACCAGTATTTGGATGCATCGTGGGTAAGATGGGTGTCACAGCAAATATTAGTTTTACTTAATCTCGCTCCGTTTCAGACATAAAATTATTAGTTCTTGTAAACTATCGATTAGATTTTACAAACGGTACATAAATATGCAGTATTATTTTTAAATATGCAGTGTATCTCATTGTCAGTTTTCTCTAATTTTAAATCTTTATTTGAGTAACGAAATTTATAGAATTTTACAAAGATTATATTATATCTATACTATGTCTTATTTATTTCATCTGTTTAATTAAAGTAATACATTGCAGAGTTCTTCATCAACTCCTTGCTGCTATGGATAATGATTGGCGCAAGTGCGTCGAAATTGATCAGCATTTGAATGTGATGACAATCAAAGCTAATATATCGCATTTTTATTCTAGTGTTATGGTCAGTATCAATATACTAGCTGCGATAAGTTACTCTTTGGGCGGTTATGCGATTAGTTTTGTGTATCTACCCGGAGATCATAATAATACTTTGCGACAGTTTCCTATCAAGGTACAATTTCCCTTGACAACTCAACAATCGCCTATTTTTGAGCTGCTGGCTGTAACTCAATTTCTACTTATATTATTCAACTCGTACATGCTCTCTATTATAACTGCATTAATTTCTACTCTGGTAAGTTGCAATCTTATAAATTAATTTTTTTTTTTTTCATAAAAAATGTTGAACGGAATGTAATGTCAGAATAGATTTTAGAATAAAATTTAAATTTCAATATTACTTTTTGCTTGATGAGTAATATTTATAGTTTTATACGAATTATATGTTATGCGTAACTTGATAATATAATAAAATATTATAATGTGCAGACAAATTTTAATAACTTTTATAATTTGAATATTATTTACGAACGTACTGCGTTTCTCGATTTTTCCTTTATACCTAATGTTTATGCATGCATAATATATCTATACTTACGTGATATTTCATATTTTTAATATATATTATTAGAACATTTCTAGAAATTTTAACATTTTAGGTGCTTCACGTAAGTGGGCAAATTGATATATTGTGTCAAGAATTCAAAACTATTTCTGCAAAAACTTATTCAAATAAAACTTCCACATCTACATTAGGTATACTGATGAAAGGCACAATAAAGTTTTCTGGTTTTCTAACAATATCGATAATCTTTTCTCCTTTATTGCTTTAATGGAAGTTGTTTGGAATACTTTAGTTCTTTGTGGTCTGATATTTATTATCATAATTGTGAGTATAAAAAAAAACCTGTGATAAGTATTATACTTAATTTATTTGATTTTATTGTTTACCAAAAATAGTCCGTTCAAATTGAGACCGGTGTCAGCGTAATAGTAAAATCCGTTTTTTCTTATCTTGCACAACTAGTGGAAATTTTTATTTTATGCTTTGCTGGAGAATATCTTAAGCTGAAGGTTAGTAAAAGATTAAAAAATTGTTAACTTCATATTAATATGCAATATGGTTATGGTGAAATATTTATTTATATGATAAAATACATTATAATATATATAATATATATATATATACATATGTATATATGTAATGCATAATAGTGACATGTATAACATATAATAATAAAAATTACATCTTTTAAATATAAAATAATATAGAAATGATATCCAATGCTAATTAATTAGACGTTTTTTCATGTGTATAAAACCTCTTTTTTTAAAAACACAGAGATGGATGTGAATGTGCCTTTATAATATACATATATCGTTATTTTAAATTAAATTCTAATCTAAATGTTTAAAAATGCTATTTTAAAGCACGAATGTATTGCTTCTACTTTCACAATAAATAATATATATCATTTTTATTTCAACTTTTCATTTTTATGCAAGAATAAACAAATTAAAATTAAAATTTGTGTAAAAATAGTTCCATTGATATTATTTATACAAAGACTTCTTACATATACATATAATAAGTTACGAGAAACGTCGATTTGTTATAATCCATACACTTTTTCTATTATTTTCAGAGTAAATTAATTGCCGATGCAGCTTACGAATCACTTTGGTATGATTTACCGTTAAATAAAAAAAAGATTATAGGGTTTGTAATACTGAAATCTCAAAAACAACTTATAATTACAGCAGGAAAAATTACAAATTTATCTTTGGAAACTTTTACGAGTGTAAGATTTCGGAATAACTTTTTAAACAATTAAATATAAATTTTAACATTTATACAATAAAAAGTATATGTGTGCAAATATATGTTTGTAAATTAATTTCTAAATCTTTTTAGATAATAAAAGCATCAGCATCGTACGCATCTGTCTTACGTGCAATGTATTGATGTGAAATTGCTGTATTATTAGTATATATACGTTAATATAAAGAAATTATTATTACCAATTACATTTGTATTTTTCGTTTTTAACAACTACATAATTCGTTTTATATTTATAACCAAATGTTACAACATAACATCAGAGCAGATTTTTTGCTTTTTATAGAGATACATTTCCCTTTGAAACTTAACAATCACCGACGTTTGAGCTTCTTGTGTAACAATATTTGTGTATATACATGAATATGTGTGTGTGTGTGTGTGTGTAACGTTACATCTATGTACTTTAATATTCTAAATAGACATTTTTTCTGCTTCGGTAAATCTTATATTTACCATATTTTTATTAATTTTAACAAATTGTATCCATTATTATAATGTTACAGTTTAATACATCAAAGGAAGTTATAATGACGTTTTCTCTCTCTTGTCTCTTTAAAAATTCACGATCAATGCCATGAACACAATTAATTTCCATTATCAAGAATATCCAAGATGCAAATAATTGCATCTTAATAAACTTTCAATTGCCGTATGTTCAACAATAATGACAATATATAAAAAATGATACACATTCGTTTTTTTCTGACTTATATTATCGTCATTATATTACAGTACATACTCGTATTTTTACTTAAAAGAATATTCTTACGGAAATTGTAGCTTATTTCCAGATATTGATCCTTTTTAGAAAATCGTACTCAGTACGTATAGATATATTCTGTTGGATATAGACATATTTGAAACTAAATGAACGTCTCCAAATAAATAATTTTTTATTTTGAAATGTCTTTCTCAAGTGAAGAATATAATAACATGTTTCCTATGCTATATAACTCGTTATATCGTCCCTATTCTGTTGTTCTTCCCTCACATTATTTTTTTAAAGACAAGAAGTAAACGAATATAATTCAGTTCCGTTCGCTTAAGGTACAGAACATATAATTACAATCGTTTTACTATAAGTTTAATTTTTACTATACGTATGTACAGAACGTAGACATTTATTTATTTTTCTATAGAATCACGTTGCTAAGATACAAGTTAGTAAAAAAAAGAGAATAGATAATTGTACACATCAAATTATACACATTTAGCGATCATATCTGATGTCATTGTTTCTTTATACACAGATATTAGACTACGTTGTTAAACTATCATCAGATAATTATGAGATGTCCGCATAAATAATGAGTCTCTATCCCGATTTTGCTGTTATATGCGTTACATAATGGCAATTGATCCATATTTACGCGAGTGGGGATGGACTGCCCTGGGGTTGCTCTTGAAGAAACTGTCAGTGTTTTTTGAGTTCTTGGCTTATCGACTCCGTGGCTGAAGTCGGGATCATTCTCTTGCGAAGAAGAAGAAGCTTTCTGAATTAAAGCTTTCTTTCTTAAACCAGAGTGCCGGACAAATGTACCAACACTGATCTTTACTTTCTTGTGTTCTCAATACTGATTACGAATGATAGTTACGAGTACTGTCAGTCCGGTGCTGAAGATCGGTCTTCAGATGTTTGGTGTGTGGCCGGAGGTGTCGCAATCCATTCCATATTGGCTACTTTATATATTTAGCATACTGATAGTACAGTACTTCCAATATCGATACGTGTACGAGCACTTCAAGATCAGTGAGCTTTCGAATCTCGTCGATAGTTTACCCGCGGCTTTAGATTACAGCTTAACAATTTTGAAAGTAACCAGTCTTTGGATACATCGTCGGTAAGATGTATCGCTGTAAAAATTAACTTCTTCCATTTAATTTAAGACATAAAATTATTAGTTATTAGTACGCACATAAAAAAAATTTAAATTATAATAAGTAAATTTAATAACTTGGTTTCCAATTCCTTAAATCACATATAATATTTTTATTAACTTAAGATTTAAATATTATTATTGTTATAGTGTAAATCATTTAAACCGAATATTATATTATTTTTACGTATGTATATTATTTTTTATTATACAAATATATATACACACAATATATTATATATAATATCTATTATATGTTGTGTGTGTATCATCAGTTAGATTTTATGATTATGGAACATGTCTTATAATTGGCCCAATTAGAATAATGCATTTACAGAGTCATTCATCAGCTCCTAACCGCTATGGATAAAGATTGGCAAGAGTGCGTCAATATTGATCAACATTTATATGTAATGACAGTCAAAGCCAGTATATCACATTTTTGTTGTAATATTATGTTCAGTATTAATACAATTGCTGCGGTGATTTATCTCTTAAGCGGTTACGCAATTCGTTTTATATATCTGTCAGGAGGTTACAGTAACGATACCTTGCGGCAGTTACCCATCAAGGTACAATTTCCCTTTGAAACACAACAATCACCAATTTTTGAGCTGTTGGTTATAATTCTATTTCTACATGTGATGTTAAATTCGTGCACGATCTCTATTCTGAACGCATTAATTTCTACTCTAGTAAGTCTCACTTTATAAATATTATTATTATTATTTAAACAAAGGTTGTTTAATGGCTTATGACATCAGTATTAACGTAAAAAAAAGCAAAATTTAATTATTAAAATTAGATTTTTCTTGATATATAAGATTTAGTTATACATAAATTATGACACTTGTCATATTTGTTACGTTTTACGCACGTAATTTGATTTTACGGTTAATTAAGATTTTATATCACTTCTATTATAGATAATATAAGATAATAATATAGTAGATAAGTGTAATATTAATTAATTAATTGAATACTATACTTATATAAGTAATCTGCATTTTACATTTCGTTTTTTTTTATATCAATTAACTACTCGTATAAACGGTTCTAATAATTGGAACCTGTATAAAAATGTAAAGAACAAAGTAAAGGGCAATTTGAGAATTATCGATAAATATAAATAAGAAGTCATCACATATAAAAAATTAGTAATATAATTAAGACAAATTCAAACTGCATACATAACATTTTTTGGCTCCTGGATTGAGCCTTCTTCAGATGTAAAAAACTATTGGTACAATAATATAATGCCAGAACTATTAATATAATGGTTTTTTTTTACATCTGAAAAAGGCTTAATCCGGGAGCCGAAACTTGTTATGTATGCAGTTTGAATTTGTCTTAATTATATTACTAATTTTATATAAGTAACAATTTCGTATTTATATTTATCAATGACTCTCGAATTGTCCTTTACTGTATCCTTTTTATTGTTTTGACATCAAGAGCTTTGTTTGTTAGTATTTATTTATAAAAATTTAAGTATACATATTGTATATTTGTAGGTATTTCATGTAAGTGGACAAATCGATATATTATGTCAAGAATTTAAAACTATTTCTGCAAAAATTTTTCCTCATAATACTTCTACATCTACATTAATTGTACTGATTGAAAGACACAACAGAATTTTTTTGTTTTCTGACAAAATTGAGAAACTTTTCTCCTTTATTGCCTTAATGCAAGTTATCTGGAATACTTTTATTATATGCAGTCTAGGATTTATTATCATAATTGTAAGTATTGCATTAAATGCCTTGTAATCAATATTATATTTAATTTATTTGGTCTTATTGTTTATTGAAATAGTCCCTTTATGTTGAGACTGGTGTCATTACAATATTAAAAACAATTTTCACTTATCTTGCTGTAATAGTGGAAGTTTTCATCTTATGCTTTGCAGGAGAATATCTGAATTTCAAGGTTAGTGAGCATGTGGAAATTATCTGCAAGTATAACATTTTTAATTTAATACGAAACATAGATAAAATATTTATTAAACAAGAACAGAACGGCTGTAATATATAAGAGGGGCGTATTTTTATTTTAAATTTTATTTAAGTTGTGCACCTAAATTATGATGCGATGATATTACAATATAATACCGTGTTTGTGCGTCCAAACATTCTGACCAGCGGTTTATCGCTTATGTTTTTTGTCGTGCACGACATTCGAAAATTTGATACGCGACATGACCGCACGTTTACAGTACTATTATACCATACATAGATCCTTTGCTTTTATTTTCTACAATTAACGGTATTATATCTTTTTTAAACATAATTTTTCAAATTTTGTTACTTATAAACATACAATAACAAAAGATTAAGGAAATTTCGATATGAAATAGAAGATATTTACACAGTATTTGTTTTAATGAGGAAGAATTATTAATAACATTATTAATTATTTTTTGTATCATTATTTTCAGAGTAAATCAATCGCCAACGCAGCATACGAATCACTGTGGTACGATTTATTGGCAAATCAAAAAAAGACTATTACATTTATAATAATGAGAGCTCAAAAACAAGTTATGATCACGGCAGGGAGAATTACGAATTTATCTTTGGAAACTTTTACGAGTGTAAGTTCATATATTCTTTTGATAGCTTAGTATATAAGAATTTTATGCATTTTCCAAAAAATGTACATATGTAAACTGATTTTAAAATACTTTTTAGATATTAAAAGCATCAGCATCATACGTATCTGTTTTACATGCGATATATTAATATTAACAAATTTAATTGAAATCGTAATGTTAATAGTATTACTAGTATAATATATTAAAATAGAGATTGTGTTATTATTAAATTGCTTTCTATAAATTAATATTATTATGTATTTTATTGAGTACCATATTATGCTGTTTTAAAATTTATATATGTATTTATAAATTATTGTATCTAGAATTATACACTACTCAACAAAAAATAGGGAACACTTTCGAACACGCTAAAAATTGTCATCAAACGATAAAAAATGTCATTCGACATTCACATAGTGTATTTGAAAAATTTATATTTAGACACTTTCTGTCTATATACTTTCATATTGTTAACGTTGTGTCTTTATCATCAAGTATAATACTATTGTAATACTTTGCGTAGAATATTTCACATTTTAACAATAATAAACAAGTATTAGAGAAAATACGTTAATTACAGCTAGTTCAGATATACGTATATCTAATGCTTGTAATATTTTTAATTTTGAAATATCTTTTAGAACAGGGCTCGGAACGCGATGCAACTTTCGGTCGATTTTTTAATCGGCTCCGCCTTCCGCTGTCCCCCTCATCTCACCACTCCGCGCGTAATCCAAATGCCGCTCGACGGTCTATTCCTGTTCTTTTAATATAGGTAATACGTGCTTCTGGTTGTAAAGTATCTCATATCGCTTTTGTAGTTTCCGCAATAATTCTTGATGTAGTAGTTTGTCCAATTTTGTATTGATAATGTAAGCTAACCATACGCTAAAATAGACAATCACGCAAATGATTTATTAAATAATATAAATCATACCATAAAAATGAAAAGGTCAAGCCATGTTCAAAAAAAGATCCTCTAAAAAATTTAGACCTTTAATATTATTATTATTAAGTAAAAAGGTCTAAATTTTTGAGGATCTTTTTTTGAACACGGCTTGACCTTTTCATTTTTATAATATGATTTATTATATACTATATTAGTTAATTATTAATTTAATTTAATTCGTGATAGTACCGCGGTAATTTACTATATGTGAGCGATAAAAGGATCCAAGCTAGACTGTTACATGGCTTTGTATTTGTATCGGTTGTGTTCTCACATTAACGGTCTTCAGTATTAAATATTGTTACAATATATATTTATATAAAACATAAATGCGCATTCATAGCTCAGGTGAGGCTCATATCGCTCGCACGCGAGGAGCGCATTTTACTCGTATTACATGCGTGCGGGTTCACGCATGCGAACGATATAACAATTGAGGACGCATCTGTCTAATGCCATGGGCTCATTGCCATGCGAATAATCCGCACGCGTGCGTGCACCATGCGATCATTATGCGAACATATTGTTATCTGGATTACGTGCACTTGCGTGCACTTGCGTGCACTTGCGTGGTGCATGCTGGCACTATTCGGATATGACGAGAGGTGGTTCACATTAGGATCACTATACGAGTTCCTTCTTTTTTAATTATAAACAAAAATATTTAATTATAAACTAAATATAGTGTTGTAAAGTATGTATATAGAACAACAAATTATAAATGAAGGGCTAAGCGAGCCAATTGTATAACAAAGAAACTTTAATTTAGAAACTAAACATATTACAACAAACGTTTCGACGCCAATCGGGTTATACAATATCACATACAGTGTATGATTCGATCGGCGTCGAAACGTTTGTTGTAATATGTTTAGTATTTAAATTAAAGTTTCTTTGTTATACAATTGGCTTTTAGCCCTTCATTTGTTATTTGTTGTTTTTTATATACATACTTATAGAGCCTTCTAATATATATTATTTATATATACATATATATATATATATACATATATAGGGCTACAATAATATGAACTACGAAAATTAATGATGTTCTGATAATTGTAAAAAGCAATTACTTACTTACGAAATATTATAACATGACTACGTCATATCATTTTTTTTCAGTTTTTGTACGAACAGAATGAATAATATGACTTTATGAATCAATGCGATCAAAACTGAGATTACGTCGGCTGTCAAAACACAATTCATTAACTCTACGATATATTTATGATCGCTGATGCAACATTCGACCGTATCAGCCGTGAACGTAAAAATAACTAAGAACAAAACATATACTTCTAAAATCGAACCACAGCCATTCGTGCAATGCACTGTACAAGCACATTGGATATACATTAAATTAAATACTCATATTATCTTCAATTAAATAATTTTTTATTTCAAAATATCTTCCATAAAGATAATAACATTCCTAGAAGCATTAAGGAACATTATTTGTCATTTTACTGGTATTCTGTTATTTTGTTCTTACATTATTTCTTTGAAGACCATCAGAAGTAGAATTACCAACGAATATAATTCAGTTCCACTCGCTTAGAATACCTAATACATACAATTACTGTTCTACTTTGTAATTATCGTGTTTTACAATTACAGAATGTAATCGATATATGTTTCTTTTACATAGAAATCTGTTGTCAAGATATAAGTTTGAAAGAATAGGGACGGACCGACTATATTACGCATCGAATCGTTCATCAATAATTTGATACAGATGTCTCTTTTACTTATCCGAGTAATTTATTACTGCGTTGTTAGATTTCTACAGAAAATTACAACACGTTTATAAAAAAATTAGTAATATCTTCCTTTGCTATATCTTCTTATGCTACATAATTCATATTTATGCGAGTGGGAATGCACCGAGTGGAATATACTTGACGAAACAGAGGATATACTGTCTCAATTACTCCTTATCTCGAGAATCGAACAAATGTGCAAACGCAGATCGTTACTTTCTTAAGTTTTAGAAATCATTGGCAAATGGTAATCAGAAGTACTTGCAGCCCAGTGCTGAAAATTGGTTTTCAATTACTCGGCATTTGGCCGAGTGATTTGTATTCTACTGTTCACTTTCTGAGTATTATATTGGGCATACTGATAATACTGTACTTTCAGTATTTGTACATTTTTGAACACATGAAAATCAGTGAAATCCCGAATCTCATTGATTGTTTGACTTTAACTATATCTTACAATTCGACGTTATTTAAATTGATTGGACTGTGGATACGTCGTCAGTAAGTTATACTATTATACTATGTATATAGGACGCAGTGTTACCAAGATCTGAGCACGCACGTAAAAGCCGAGCGACGTACACCCACGGTAATCGATTCTGTCCCTCGTAAATTTTCACAAAATGAGAAGTGATCACCTTTCTGTATTAATGTTAACAGTCCATGCACGATTAATGACACGACTTACAATCATTTGACACAAAAAAGAAATAATCTGAATTTTCGTAAGTTTTAAATAAGCAAATACCAGTAAATACAGTGGATGTAAACGTTATTTTGTCAGTAAAAAAGTATAACAAAAAAAGTTTTTAACTGATCGTAATAATCATATGTACTTCTCTAGAAAATTTAGTTTAGCAAATGCCGCAAAAATTTCAAGTGTATCGGGTAAAGTTTGTTAAAGTTATGCTGCAAGCCAATTAAAAAAACGTGGTTAATGTTTTGAGTAACACATTATTTCATATTTCAATCGCTTTAAAGAAACCACTGTAAAACGAGTTAAAAAAGTTTTTTATTTATAAGACCAATTGCACCTTATTTTTAAGACTCTAAAGCATCATTTCAGACAAAAAAAATTTCCGATTTTTCGAAAATTTCACCTAGATGTTACTTTTTAAACACAACGTTGATGGCTCTTGAAGTAAATAGAATTTTCCTATTTAAAATATTATAATAAAATAACGTATTTCAGAATTTTTCGTCAAATGTTAGTTGCTATGGATAATGACTGGCGCGAGTGCATCAATATGGAAGAACATTTGTATATGATGACAGTTAAAGCCAATGTAGCTTATTTTATTTCCAATGGTTTATTGTGTATTAATGCAGTTGCTACAGTACTTTATTTATTAGGCGAATACGTAATTCGTTTCGTATTTTTGAGTGATGATCAAAATGACACCTTACGGCAGCTTCCTATAAAAATACAACTTCCCTTTGAAACTCAACAGTCGCCACTGTTTGAGTTTTTTGCAATGACATTATTTTTATATACGATCATACTTGCAAGCACACAAGCTATTCTAAATGGATTAATCTTGACTTGGGTAACACATTCTTATATATATAACTTTTTTGTGATTTATTAATTTTTATGTATAATAAGGAAATTTATGATTTAGAATTGAAACTTATTTATGGTAACAATATTTTACGTCGAAATTACTAAAAAGTTTGTTATACAAAATAAATACACCAGTTAATAAACAATTAATGGTTATAATCCAATTATAGAACATAACGATAAAAATTTTAAGCTTTTAATAATATGGACAACTCTAATTTACAGTGCTATACTTAATTGCTATAATCAGATATTAATATTTTTTTAAGCAATAATTGCATTGATTCACTTTTAGAGAAAATTAACTGGTACATTTACAGGTAACACATTCTTGTATATAAATATATTTTTGTGATTTCTTAATTTTTATGTATAATAAGGAAATTTATGATTTAGAATTAAAACTTATTTATGGTAACAATAAACAAATTTTACGTCAAAATTTCTAAAAAGTTTGTTATACAAGATAAATAGATCAGTCAATAAACAATTAATGGTTATAATTCAATTATAGAACATAATGATAAAAATTTTAATCTTTTAATAATATATGAACGACTCTAATTTACAGTGCTATACTTAATTGTTATAATCAGATATTAATATTTTTTTAAGCAATAATATATATTACATTGATTTACTTTTAGAGAAAACTAATTGGTATATTTACAGGTCGCCACTTTTTTTCGTAAATTATTAAAAGATATAATTAATTTTTATGTTCACAAAAATCGTATACATAATTCTGCAAGAAGAATTTCTTTGAGTTTATAAATATATATATTATGTAAAAACATTTTTTATATTGGAAACATGTATATTATAGCGTGAAAATTTCTTTTATTTGCTATATAATTATGATTTTTGCACAAATTTAAGTATATTTTAGGTTCTGCACATTAGTGGACAAATTGATATAATGTGTCATGAACTTAGAAATATTTCTATAAAGAGTACTTCTTTTCATGAACATACTGTATCTTTATTTAAAGTGTTAATTGAGAGACATAATAGAATTGTTTTATTTTCTAAAAATATTGAAAAACTTGTCTCATTTATTGCATTCATGGAAGTTGTGTGGACTACGTTACTTATTTGCTGTCTAGGATTTTTTATCATAATTGTAAGTTCTACAATAAAAGTGCATTAACTGATATCATATAATATATCGTTATTTTCTATTTTATCGTTTTTCGAATTAGATGATTCACAACAATACGGGTGCTTTCGTGCTAACAAAAACAATTCTTGGTCTTTTTGTCATGATGTGTCAGATTTTTGTCATTTGCTTTACTGGAGAACATCTTAGTTACAAAGTAAGTATTTATAACATTGGGAAGGCTCCAATTGCCTACAGTTTCATTTGCGCAAATCTTATCTTACACACGGCAATATCGTATACAGCACATTGCATACACGATAATAATGCACACAGTACATTGACACACACGATAATATTGCACACAGCAAAGTTACGTTATTTGGTCAAAAGTCAAATTGCGCTATGCAATTCGACTTTTTAAATAACGTGGCTTTATCATTCATCGTATCTGGATAACTCTTTATTATCCTGTATATAATGTGCTTGTCTACAAAAGTGTCGTGTATGCAATGCTCTGTGTGCAATATTGTCGTGTGGAGGCAGAGAACATTCTACTCCTTTGCAAATGCCAGCGGCCGCGAGGATCTAGAGGCGTGGATATAAGACTGCGGCCGACGGTCGAGAATGCTCGACCGAGGCAGAGTATATTCCGTCTCTTGGTTTTCGTCAGCGTGGCAGCGGTGCAAGGAGCGATGGTCGAAAACGCTCGACAGGGGCAGAGCTCTGTCCCTGGTTTTCGTCGATGTATTATTATGCCTGGACGCGGTATAGAGAACGCTCGCGATCGAGTCAGAGTACTCTCTAACCCGTGGTCTCGTTTTCGCAGGCTCTGGAATTCGGAGACGGGATCGGAATTGGAATCGTAATACGCCGCGTAATCACGAGACGCAGCTTTATATAAGTCAAAAAGCCCGCGCACGTTATTTTCCGCGATCGCTCGTAATTTCCCGTCGATCGACAACTCGAGCGGGAGAGATGTTATAATTATAATTTTATGATAAAATGTTTGGAGATTTTTGCACAAAAATATTTTAATTACAGTATATGTATTATTTAAAACAAATCTTGTTTAAAAAAATAAGAATATCTTCAATAAAAAATGTTCTTATTTTCTGCTTTCTTTTTACTACTCTTTTTTTTCTATATATCATAATATTAAACTTCTCTGTTACTTATATTTTTCTTTATTTTTCATTCTTCATATACCTAACTTTTTCTGATATCAACAATTAAAAGAAAATTTATTCTTAAATAAAGTGAATATATGTAACATATGTATAAAGAGTTATTGCTTTTAACTATTATATTTTTACTTTTAGGGTAAATTAATTGTCAGCGCAGCATACGAATCGCCGTGGTATGATATACCGTCACATCAGAGTAAAATGTTAATACTAATAATAATGAGATCTCAGAAGCAATTAGCCATAACGGCAGGAAAGATGATGGATATGTCGCTCGAAACTTTTACGAATGTAATTTTCCTAATTTTTGATCATTTAGTTTTTAGAAAATTGTTTTAATTTGTTAATCAATTTACGTTTTTATGCGTAAATATAATTTGTAAATCAAAATGTATTTATACATAAGGACGCAAATGGCAGATTGATTAGAAGAACAAATTAAATTTCCATTTCAAATGTACTCTTTTTATTTATGCTTTTTTAGGTCATTAAAGCGTCAATGTCATATGTATCTATTCTGAATGCTCTTTACTGATTTAAACAAAATTACGACAGATATTCGTTGAAATAGTAATAAAATTAGTGTAATAAGTCAATAAATAAAAAATGTTATTTTTTAATTTGTAGTATTAGCATCCAAAAAAAAATATTCTGCTTTTTATCGGTTCGGTATTAATATTAGAAAATTTTCCATTTATGTACGACCTCAAGAAGATATTCTACAAAATAAAAGAATTTCGTATAACCATATAAAGTGCCGAATTAAAGATTGCAGTCCTTTTATCGCTAGAAGAATGTTTTGCATGTATTGACATGCACTCGTAGCTACGGTTTCACGTAAATGACAAACTTCTTCTAATTAATTAGCATGCCGCTAATATCTTGTATATATGGATGTCCACAAGGTGCAAGAAAGGGTATTTGCCCCCCCATCTAGACGACAGGCGCGTCGAATAAAAGCGTGTGTGGTGAGATTTTAACGTGCCTTTTTATGTTGACACTTGATGCTCATTTTTAGCGGCAAAATAGATCGCGTAATCAAAATTGACGATTCATAGTCGTTGATATTATTCTTCTGATTTTAAATGGAGCTATTACATAAATACTTAATTTCGCGGAGACGGCACTTCAGATATGAAAGATTATCGTTTGCCTTTTTTTCTCAACTGTCTGTCTGATCTCATTGTCAGATATACTCGCGAAATATTAATACGAATCCGAAAATAGATTTAATGCATATTGTCTTTGCGGAAACTCGAATTAGCTGCATTCCGTCATATATAATCATGATATCATCATACTATATACCTACTTGAAAATTACATGAAATATGTAAATTTTTGAAAAATATGCGTTTTATACAAATAATATGTTTGATTTATGCAAATATGCATTTATGCGAAACATTCAGTTAAATCTTTTTACATAAAAATCCGCTGTCTAGTAATTACATACGTATAATAATATTATTATTAATATTGCTATTATTATTATATTTTAAATTATGCCTCGGAAGAATATATTTTTTTTGCGTTATATTATATTAAAAAGTCAACCGAACAAAGGCTACAGAGCTAAGTTAGATTTTGCTCGTATAAATAATTTAATATCTAAATTACTATGTGATGTCCTTTTTTGTACTAAACATGTTGGCATAAACCATTTTTCTGTTTGTCTTTATATAAATTTCGTTAATAATTAAATAGATTACCTTATACGAATCACCCTGTATTATGACGTTGCAGTTTTCCTGCAGCGTTGCAGCGACGTTGCAGTGACGTTGGATGTAAGTATATTCTATAAACTAAATATTTGAAATATTTTCAATTAAATAATTTTTTATTTCGAAATACCTTCCATAAGGATAATAACATTTCTAGAAGCATTAAGGAATATTACATGGCATTTAACGAGATATTCTGTTATCTTTCTATTACATTACTTCTTTGAAGGCCATTAAAAGTAGAATTTCACGAATGTAATTCAGTTACGTTCGCTTAGAATATTTAATGTATAACTACTGTTGGTCTGATGTGCGATTATCGATTTTTACAATGTACAGAAGGTAGCGGACGTTTGTTTTTTATTTATTCGTTGCTCAGATATAAGTTCGTAAGAAAAGGCAACTGACTATATTACACATCATCATCATGCATCAATAGTTCGACATGTACGTCTTTCTTACTTTTCCGAGTAATTTACTACGTTGTTAGATTTCAATAGAAAATTACAACACGTTTATAAAAAAATTCTTCATTTGTTGATGCTACACAATACATAATAATTGATCCATATTTATGCGAGTGGGAATGCACCGAATGGGAAATAATACTTGGAGAAATAGACGATATACTGTCTCCATTATTTCGAGAATCGTACAAATGTGCAAACGCTTTTCATCTCTTCCTTAAGATTTAGAAATTATTGGCAAATGATAATCAGAAGTACTCTCAGCCCAGTGCTGAAAATTGGTTTGCAATTACTTGGCATTTGGCCGAGTAAT